AAATATATCAAAATGGGTACCAATCAAGAAAGTATTTCAGCTCTGTTTGGGTTTTTATCCCTGACAGATGGATTGATTGTCCTTTTACAGCCTTTCTTTTGTTCTAAGCAATATGACCTGGTATAAGAGTGAAATCAAGAGTCATAATTAAAGTGACTTTACTGATTTTAAGACTCTCTCAAGGAAAGATGAACATTCTTTAAAAAGTTGAAGATCAGATATTTTCCTCAACAGGGCACATTTAGGAAGAGTGAATTCCACAAGCCCAGGGTTAAAAGGGACCTTTCAAAGCCACCTTTCATCTTCTTTCATAACTATCACAGAGAAGAGAGAGTTGGCTTTTACAGTTGATATTTAATTAACTCCATTCTTCTAGTGTACAAAATGTCCTTATGGCAGTTACGTATCCACTTTACAATTTCCTCATGGCTTCTAATACTGTTCACTAGGGGGAAACTCTACTGAAATGTTGGGAGTAATAAGATCAAGCAATGGGTAGCTCGAACTAGGGATATGATAAACTGTCTCTTGCCCAAATTATTTTTGTTAAGTTAGTTTTATGATAAACTAGATGTCTTTGTTTATGCAGTGGTTTGTGATGTCATAAAATTTATTTTCACTAATAAAATTTATTCTCAATTATAATAGAGTAGGAAAAATTCATTTTCTCAGCAGCCAGTTCATGCTTTTTTAGAGCTCTATGAGTCCTGAAAATAAAACTAGAATACATTGACACTTTAATGATGAAAATTGTGAATTTGGTGGCGAAGTAGGCCTTGATTGTAGTGTTAATTCCTGCCTTTGTTACCTGTAGGAGGTTGGGAAAGTTAACCTCTTGGGCTTCAGTCTTTTCATTTTTAATATGGGTTTACAATAATACCCATTTTGTAGTATTGCTTGAATATTGACATAATACAGTTAAAGTGCCTAGCACAGAAACATATAAAACATTGAAAAATGTTTTTTATTCTGATCATTGCATTGACTGTTAAGATATCTAAAATTTATTTGTGTAAGTCTTTCTTGTTATAACTGTTTCCCTAACAACACTTAAAAACAGTTAAAAGGAATTAGTATTTGCTCATTTATGAATCTAATCGATCATTCCTCTTCCAATAATCTAAAGGATTTAGATAGTTTCTAGCTTGGGAGATGAGAAAACAATTTTAAAATCTTCTTTTTGTCAATTTTTTAAAATGATATTGTAGCAAATACATGTTTATGAAAAAAATTAGTACTGCAGGCAGCAATTTGACCTATGATAAGATGTAATATATATGAAGATGACCATGTAATACAGAAATCAGAAAGAGATCAGTTCAATGACATCTTTAGGAAAGCAATATGGGAAGAATGAACTAAATTCTAATGAGATAGAGGGAAGTGCTAAACCATCAAACTCTGTTTAAGCGAGGCAACTGTAAGATGAATTTTTAGAGAGTACAGGCAGGTCTGGAACATTTTTATCCTTAGAAAGTCTTTTCTTTTTCCCTATGAGCCAGTGGATCTTTACAACCTTGAATTAAGAGATATGTGGGTTTTATGATATATGCTTTTCCCAACTGTCTACGTGTTCATTTAGGAGATTCTAATGCTTAAAAGAAAGAAGAAAATGCTTTGTCAGCCTGTAACAAAGTAGGTCAGCTTAAGTAAGTAGGGGCCAACCCAAAGGAGAAGGTAGAACAGGATCCCCTAAAAGGAGACAACACACTAAATCCTGACCTTCCTGGCAGTTACTCAACTTTGTGCTTCTGTGAAAAAAAAAAAAAAAAAAGAGCGACAAAATGCTGGATCAAGGATAGTTGGGAAAGTCAAAGCATTCCCATTTTTGATGGTCTGTACTATTCAGGGCATCAATATTGAACTGTTAGGTGAACTTTAAAGGTACATGGATTGCACATGTAAGCAGCCTGCACCTGACTGAGCTCTAACCAAAAGGGAGCTTCAGACTGTCAGCTCTCCACAAACATTGCCAAGCTCTGACTTCTGTGTTACCAGAATTTTTGCAACTTTTTATTCTCTTCCAACACTACATATGCTTATCTCACTGCCAAAATAGATGTTTCTCTTATTTAATATTGTCACCTATTTTTTGCATTGAGGTACCATAGGTTTACAACACTGTATATGATTCAGAGGTATAGATTCACACTTCTTCAGATGCATATCACTAGACCACACCCATAACCAAGGTACCTATAATCCTCTACCATACTGCACCTCTATCCTCCATCCCTTCCTCTCTTTCTCTGGTAGCTTCAGTTCTTCAGTGAGATTTCTAATATTTGTTTTGCTCAATTTATTGGTTTTGTTTCTCTGTACTCCTCATAAGAGTCAAATCATCTGGTATCTATCTTTCTTCTTCTTACTTACTTCACTTAGTAAGTGACTTAACTTCACTTAGCACAGTCCCACTCAGTTCCATCCAGCTTGTCATGAAGGGCAAAATTTCATCTTTTTTTTTTCAAAGATTTATTTATTTATACATACAGAACTGAGGTATGGATCAGAGGTGTGGGGTTTGGGGATGGGTGATGGGTGAGAAGATTCACCAGAGACAGAGTAGGGAGCAGATTAGGTAGATTGAGATGCACTGCTGAGGGGAGCAGTGGGTGGGTCAGGAGAGGTCTACCACACCATGTGGGTCAGCTCCCTGGTTGGGAATTGAACTCATGCTTCAGTAGCTGGGATAGCTTCATAGTGCTTCACTTCAACCCATTGTGCCACCAGGAAGGGCCCAAATTTCATCATTTTTATGGCTGATGTCAGGACTTCTTTATTCATTCATCTGTAATTAAGCACTTAGGTTGTTTCCATAACTTGGTTACTGTAAACAGTGTTACAGCAAAAATTAAAATGCATCAATGCTTTTCACTTATTGTTTTTGCAGTCATTGATTAGATACTTAAGAGATATTTAGGTGATTGCTGGATCATATGATAAGTCTATTTTATGGTATTTTGATAAATGTCCATTCTGTTTTGCATAGGAACTGGACTAATTTATATTCTCATCAACAGTGACTGAGGTTCATTTTTCTCCTGCATACTCATATAAGTCAGGCCTTTTTGGCCTAAGACTAGAATCTTCCCCTATTCCATGTACTAAGACAGAGCCCTGCAACTTCAAAAAAAAAAAAAAAAGCAAAACTGTCATCACTGCTTTGAACAGTTAAAATATTTGTATCTCCCATTATTACACTGTATTTTATCAAAATCTTAGTTTCTTCCATATGGACAGAACTATTTACATGAGTTTACTTCCTATATTTGCTTCCCCTATTCGCTCAGAGTTCATTTTTGGTCCACATATAAAGTATAAATTAAATATAGGCAAAATCATCCTTCAAAACCACCTTAAATTGACAACATAATAGAGTAGACATGATTTTTGTTATATGATCCTGCATAACAAGAGTCAAGACTGAGGAACCCTAGGTTCTAAAGAGGGAAAAGAATGAATCCAGAGATTTGAACCAGTATGCTTTTAAGTTAGCAAGCTAACCTAGTGAACTAGCAACCTAAATCTAGTGAACAATGTAGGAAGAGAGAATTTTAACTTGTTCTTGTTTCTTTACTCCATTCCACAGTGATATTAAATCTCTGTAGCACTCAGACATGTCATTCTTTGTCTTCGGTGTTGTGAGAGTGGAGCATAGTGTTGGCTCCTCTTCGGGAAAATAAGGGATTGAGAAAACTGGATTCCTGATCTAGTGTGAAAACCACAAAGCTAAGTGAATCACACAAGAAGCATTTGCAAATAAGTTCAAGATTTTGATTAGCAGAGCCATAAGTTTGTGGAAAACTTATGCCTAGAGGGTCCTAAGGAGTGACTGATGCCTGGTACAGAAATAATTTGTCATTCAAGGCATTCAGATGTGGCGCTTCTTGATTTGTGTTGAGTAAACCTAGTCACTAGTTTTGTAAAGTCTCATTATCAAAATAGTGTGTACTGTAAATATATCTACTAAATTCAGTGCCAGCTTCCTGCTGTCATCCTTGGTATCCCCCTGAAAAGTAGGGCCATTTTATCAGTGGCTCAACTTCATCATATCACAGAGCACATCAAATATACTTTTGACTTCCAACAAATATGTTCATTAATTTTTGCTCCTGATTTTTTTTTTATATAGGTTGTATTTTGTACTTTCAACTTATATATATTTTTTTCTTTTGGTAGACCTTTGAAACTTCTAAAAACCCTAGGCTGAGTGATAAACCTTAATCCTGAGTGGATGAACTGGCCTTTCTGAAAAGAATAATTCAGTCATTCTGAAGAACATTTAGCACATTTAGAACATTTTTGTCCTCATCCCTGAAAAGAAACAGCACAAAGCCCTTTACATACAAAACTAACAACATAAAAGTATCCTCCAAAAAGTCCAAAAAATAAAATTTTTGGCTAGCAAAAAATAAAATTTTGCCTTTTGCAACAGCATGGATGGAACTTGTAGTAATGATGTTAAGTGAAGTAAATCAGAAAGTGAAGGGCAATTACCAGATGGTTTCTGGTACTCCTATGTAGAATATAACAAGTAAAGCAAACAAACTGACAAAATGCAACTAAAATAACTTATTTCTTAGAAAAAAATTGTAGGGGGCTGATTTGATATTGTGATGACTCTAGAATTGTGGCTGGATGCAATGAGGTATATACACATAATGTGGTATGAAGTTGTACTCCCAAAATTTACATAGTATTTTAAAACAATGACAAATCAATACAATTTTATTGTAAAAATAAGCTCAAATTTCATGTTTTTTCCTTTCAAGGAGATTTTAGACAAAATGCTGCTTGATGAAATTAGACAGCATATTCATGTATGTATTGTGACATAAATTATATCTTACTATTCTTAATAAAATATTCTTTACCAGTCCTGGAAGTTTTAAAGAAAACCTAGTGTTTCAGAGAGCATTAACATCCACTGAGGAAAAAACACCAGTGCCCAGGTTATTTGGACAATTTGCAAACACACTTGTTTCCTGTTTTTTGCACAGCCTCCATAGTGATTGGGAAATGGTGGTGTGAGATGGAGCCTTGTCTAGAGGGAGAAGAATGTAAGACACTCCCTGATAATTCCGGATGGATGTGCGCGACAGGGAATAAAATTAAGACCACAAGAGTAAGTTCATTTATTTCCAATATCTCCTGCTTGCTACAAATTGTGCTATTTACCTTTGTGTTATACAAACAGCACCCACAGAGGCTTGGAACAGGAAAATAGACTTTCCTTGAGGGAAAATATTGTTAGCCATTCAGATCAGTCTCCATCCATCAACAAAAAGTTGGAGATTGAAATTTTCTTTTCCATATTGAGCAGCTTAATGTTTCTGTCACTTACCCATAAATAAAGCAAGGTGGCTATAGCCAAAAGGAAGAGGAGCTGGAAGATACTTACTTGGATATTTCAGCTAACAATTATTTTGCTGAGAACCAACAATAAAAAATAAGACTTTTGTCTAATTAAGCACATGGCTTGCTGAAAAGATCTGTATTTCAGAATCATTTTCTAAAGATTCATTAAGGAATATTTAGATAATATACAAAGAAGCAAAAAATTTCTGTGATAAAAATAAGCATTCCTTTATTTCTCTGCAGTTGTCTTCAAACTGTATAGCAACCTATACATTAAGATGCCCAGCCCATTAGGATGGGCGTTGTGGTGCAGGGTGGAGTAGTCCAGCTAGAGTAGCTGTTGATCTTTTAGAATGTGGGTCTTAGGTAGGTTTCCAAGGTATAAAGGTGGTAAGAGGCAGGATGGTTGAGGCACATAAGACTTACTCTTCAGTACGGAAATACTTCAGTATTTTAACAAGCAGCATGGCCATGTGGATGTTTACCGTGTGAATATCAGCCGTGTTTTGTGGATATGTATTTTAATATGTTGGGTAATTTTTGAAGCTGATGCCATCAGCTTCAACTCTTAGTATGCTGCATGCATTGTCTTCCAAATTTAAAAGAGAATGATTCCTACCACTCTATTGTGATTTTAACCTACTCTTTCATCTCAGCATTATCTTTTCAAAATAGAAAACTGATCCTTGCAACTTTGTGATGCAGAAACAAAAGTAATGTTATGTAATAAACACCTTATAAAACATTTTTCATATAGATATGTAAATGGAGACTGTGTGTGTCAAATTCAGTTGACTGTATTGATCATATTGAACAGTGAAAGGATATACTACTCCTCGGCCTGTGGCCAGGAGGGATTCCTGAACCATCCTAGCTTGTTAACTTGCATTTGCATGCACCTAAGAAGCTCAGCATGGATTATCGTATTTCATTTTAATGAAACACCTTCAGAAGAGAGTATTCAGAAATTAGCCTAGTTCATGCCACTTGCTTCCAGAAACCATCTTAATTAGCTGGTGAAATGTGGATTTCTGATTTCCCTTTAGTTATATTCTGCTTGAGGGTGATTTTACCAAAAAATTTGAAGATGCCCTCACGAGCTAGTGATAAACAACTCTGAATTATGGCCAGTATAAATGAAATCCCATCACCATTGTTTTAAAATACACTGATAGATTTTTCTGCCAAATCTCTATCTTTATTCTAAATGATAACTGATCACCCTTTACTGAAGTGAAACCCTGCTCTCACGTGCCTCCAGACTTGAAACTCAAATGAAGAGTCACAACTATAGGTCAAATGATTTCAGGATTTAAAAGTATGGATTCTAAGAGTACCAATTAGGAGGCTCTTTGGAAGGTAGACTATAAACAAACAAATAAACCCCAGAAATTATTCATTTCTGCATTTGTGACCTATGTAACCCCTGTATTCATCCTCTGAGGAATATACTTTCAAACCCCCAGGCATGTTGTAAATACATCCTGTTTCTGCAACAGAGCATCAGAGCCGTGCAGAATCTGATTAGGTAATAGAAGCTAGAGAACACGGTTTGCTACCACCCTGGGTGGGCTAAATTCAACCCAGACAGTTGAGTGTACAAGAGAAATAAATCACCCTTGTAGTCTGTTTGAAAGCAGAGGATGTACCTGTTGTGATGCATGCATCCATTTCAAGCGAGGAACAACACTCGGTTCTACAGCCCTGTGAGCAGCACATCAGTCAAGCAAGAATCCTCAGGTCTGTCTTTAGAGAAGGAAAAACAAGACACTAGAAAAAGCTGTGCTTTTGAATCCTTGAGAGGACTCAGACACTACTACTGACTTACATTTCTCTCTTCTTTACTGAGAAATTCACAATGAAATAAACACTTTGAAACACAGAGGCCACCAATTATGTCTAGATGATACATACTTTTCCAGTATGTATAGTTTTTCCAACACCTACTCTTAGATCATATGCCCTAAACATAGGTTTTATGTTAATCATTCTGATAGGCCCTATGCATTTACCCCATTAGAATAGAAATAAGTCTACACACTCAAATTGACTATAGCAGTTTTAAGTTTTAAAAGAGCTTAGTTCACAGATGTATTTTAATTTTGAGTCATATGTGTTCATTATTCTGGCCTTATCTAAGCAGTAATCTTCAGGATAAAAAAAAGTGTTTCAAGTTCTTATGAAAGTGAAAGGGGAAAAAAGAAAATCGTCTCTTTTGTTCTTATGTATAAGATTGTTTCAAAGAGAGTGCTCTCAAGGAAAAAAAAAAAAACAAAAACCATACTTAGATTGTTAATAGCAACTGAGCATTTCCTTCATACTGTGATTTAAAAGTAATTTCAGTGTAAAGCTATTTGCAAAGAAGATTCTGGGCCTTCTTTTCTCCCTCCTGTATAGGTTAGTTTTGCTTTTTTTTTCAAAATCTATTGATTACATGGCTTACTTTCCAAATAATCATCCTAAGCCAAAATTCTCTCAGCATTCTTTGAAGTGTAGATAAACAAAAGATACTTTGAAGTGTGCACTAATTTAAATTTTTAATGGTATTCCTTTTTTAAGGATGGTGGAGAATAGAAATCCAGTGTTCTATTTACAGGACCATATAACCCAGAATGTAAGCTAGCCAGGGAAACAACAACATGAAGGAAAACCAGCAGAAATTTGATCTGGGTGACATTTGAACCCACAGACAGAAAAGGCAGCCTTCTCGGTGAAGGGAAACCCATGGGGATTACAATTGAGATGGAAAAAAAAAATGTACAAAATGATGTAAAAATAAACTATTATATTTATATTTAAAAAAAAAAAAAAGATAGCCTTAACCAAAGACTTTCCTTTCAGGAGAATTGGAATATATCCTAGGAAAAGTGACTTTTCTGATTGTGACTCCATAGGGAAAGAGTTATCCACATGCAGGTCTTTAAACTCAGCCTTGAATAAAATAGTATAGGTGACAGTCACCTTCCTGGGGAGATGCTCAGTACATCTGAGTAAAGTTTATGGGCTAGTTTTTAATTCTGTCTTGCTTTATCATTGCTTTAATTGTTTGATTAAATCTCTCTTTTGGTAATTAGTGGCAAAGCTAACCAATCTAAAGATATATTTCATGAAATTAATATATCTAAAACATACATGTGAAATTCAGGACACGTGTAACCTGTGTGTTCAAGAACAGGGGGTTAATGTAGAAAAACAGACTTTAATCTAGAGAAAATAAGTTGCTTGACTGGTATAATTATTCACAAGTAAAAGGTGCTCATTTGCTGTTTGGAGATAGGAAGAATAATGGGCAGAGATGTGGAGAAAATCAAACCTACTTGAAAAGAAAACTTAACAGATTTAAGTAGCAGAACATAAACTGGCTTAATGCCTGAGGAAATAACAAATGACTTTGGATTATATGTGACTGTTTCTTAGATGAGTGGGAGAATCAACAGTTAAGTGCAATGTTGTCAAGTTTTATTGCCTAAATTTCCTGAGAAATGCCAAAGTTGAGACTGTACGGGAGCAAATATCGGCCACTCCAAAATATGTCTTTGACAAAAGATTGATTTTATAGCAGGGGTCTGAAAGCTGTGTGGAGGTTGCTTTTGCAAAAGATGTTTACATGTAAACTTTTCTCTGTAAGAGCATTTTCTCCACTATAGTGGAAAGACCTAATCTCCTTATATCTTTTCTATGGAGAAGGCAGAACCTAAGTCTGCATACCTTTGTTCATTGTGCCTTTGTGGTAAAGAACCAAATTGGAATTCCCTTTTCTTCCCCCCAACCTCCTTTGAACTTGTTAAGCAAGAAGGGAACCATGTGGTGTTATACTCAGGGATGATGGCTCTTTCTCATATATACAGGAAATATACACTATAAGCCTTACTAAATCTCTTCTTGGCTTCTTTTGCTTTATAAAAAGTTTCATTCTCTTGAAGGGCAAGTTAGCACCTCAGATTGCACAGCTCACTACAAGCCATCTTGTCTAATTAGTGCTTTATGTGATTGGTCCACATTGGCCACATGCATTTGCCCACATCCTCCTCTGCCAGTTCTCCTGCCAGTGATTCTCAGTTTGCATTTCTCAACTACTATTCCAATCATATTAATTTTTAAAATATTATGAAAAGGGTAAAATACCAGCTTTGACATATTCCAGCGTCTTCAAAATTCTACCAGGTCCAGTCTGAAATTTTCTGAAAGCCTTTGCAATCCTAATCTCTAGTGCAATTTGAGAGACAAAGAGAAGGTGATTTGAAGACTATATTAAAAACCGGTTTGTGCTGTCACAATTGCCTTTTAGGTTCAAATAAATTTGGTCATTTTCTTATTCCATAAATGATTCAGGGATACAGGTTTTAGGAATATGGCAGTGGACATAATTGAGCCTTATCTCCCTGGAGGACAGGGCCCAAGAGTGGATAACACATTGGGGATGTTTTTAGAAAACTCAAAAGGACAGTTTCAATTCAGTTTTTCAAGTGTCATTTTCGCCCTTCTTTTGGTGGAAAAGAAGATGGTGAGAACAGAAGATAATAAATACCACTGGAATGTAGGAATCCAAAAGTTGGAAGAATCTGTTGTTTAAGAATAGATTACATAAAAATAAATGTGTGAAGATTTCTCATACAGCCTGGCCCAACTAACTTTTGAAAGAAGATTTTTATTACTGTTCCTACCAAACCCTGAAAGCTTTGAATAGACTCCCACCCATACACTCAATTTCTATGATAGAACAAATTGAGAGATGAGGAAGAAATATGCCTTATGTCTTAAAATCTAAAGTAGAGATTGAACTCTATTAGAATTATCACTTGTAGTCTGAACCAGTGATGCTCTATACATACATCCTTTTTAAAATTACCATTTTTTTGAAACCATAGTCAAATGGATTAAATGGCATCTATAGTTTGTAGATGTACACATCTGACTGCCCTTAATCATTATATATTGTTTTATGGAAGAATTCCTCACCTTCGAAAGTTCTCCTATGTTCCTAAACAAATGTGGTCTCATTTTGGCAATGACTTCACCAACTGCTACCCAACCACATCTTGAAAACAGGTCAAATTGATAAATTCTCATCAGACACAGGACTGACTCCCTTATTTGCAAGGGACATTGCGAAATGAAAACATGAGCTTCCTTATTCAAAAGTCACTAGTCATCTCAAGAGAGTGACAACAGGTCACTAAGGCAAGTGTGAGGCCCTGTGAAACACAGAAATCTGTGCATCTACATAGGTGACTGCTTGTGAAATCAGCCCAAGTCAGATGTGACCCCATGAGTTCAGCTCCTTGGTTGTGGCAAGATTAATTTAATGAATTGATTTAAAAAATAATAATAATAGCAAAACCCCAGTGGTCTATCACTGTGCTGTAAACTGTCGCTCCAGACTTTAATATTTCTGACTTTGGATCTCTTTTCCTGCCTACTCACTTGTCTTTGTGCCTTCACTTTGCTCCTTTCTCTCTGAAATTTTTCTTTCTTTCTTTGGTTTCAGATTCACCCAAGAACCTAACAGAAGCACTGGCACTGGTTATAGTAGTAAAGAAAAACCAACTCTGCAGAAAATACATTTTAAGAATTCAAAACACCTTACACATTACAAGCCAAATGGATGTCTTATTTGCACTTTGACTGGTTACCAGATAATCACAGTGCTTTTACCATATGTCCTGAAGTATCCTATAGGAATATGACCCAGAATTTTTGGCAGCACCATGGAAATAAAAGGATTTTCTCCACAAAAATTTTCGGGAGGACAAGGAATCATCAACTGTCTTCTAATTTGGATCTATAGTTACTTTGTACCATTTGAAAAAATATATGTATATATATAATATTTTGAAATATTATATATTCTCTTCAAGAAATGGACAGTACCACAGTTTGATGCGGCTGGTGTACCTCTGAATTTTGGATGTTTGGTTTGGTTTTGCTATCATTTCTTTTTCTATCAGCAAGGAAGACGTGTGCCCTTTTGAGAGATCAACTTGACCCTGACACTGGAAGGCCGGCGACAGGTGGACTCCTGGAATCTGAGGCATCAGAACAATACTGACTCAAGAGCTTCCTTCTGTTTCTACCAGATGGTTCAAGGAAGCACATCATCCGTTTTATTGCTTTCTACCCTCTGCAATATTAGCATGCAAGCTTGGCTTACATAATCATACTTTATATTCAATTGATATATAATAACCGTTCTAACCTCTTCCAGGAAAATATTTTTAGAAATACTAGCTTTTCCACAGATAAGAAAATGAGGATTCTTGAGGGAGTTGCTCCATCATGCTGTTAAGACTCTGGCAGAGTTAAGGTAGATATGGACCCCTGTATTAATTAGTCCTGTAAATACAATGTCTCAAGGCTTTGTATAGCTGTCCTAGACTGCGGAAATATCCTCAGATTAAATCCAAAAGTCTGGCATCGTTAAGTACATAGTGTTGTAGCAACAAGTCTTATCATGACACTTTTCCTATGTTGATTTGCTTTTTTCAAAAGGATTCAGATCTCTTCTGGTGAGATAGGACAGCATTAAAGCAATTAGGTTTCAGAATGATCTATGTGAGCAAATGTTGGACAGCCCTATTAAAAGTGGTAAATAACTTCTTTATAAACCTATTTGTCTTTTTTTATTTGATACTATTCCTTTTAGGCAAATCCCAAGAACACCCCACACAGACGTTCCTTGTGAGCCATATATACTTACCCCATTATATTGTGGCTGTATCTGCTTTTTTTCCCAAAGCCTTTTCCCTGGAATGCAAATTGTGAGGTTCTCTTATTAGACCAGCAGCACACTGGCTCTCTAGTTTGGACTTTTCAATACTTGACCTCAGGTAAGATCCAGAGGTTTCTTCATATCTACCAATACAGTCTGAATCTAATTAAATGTGCAGACACTCTAGCAATCTAGATTGATTCTACACCATGAATGCATATAGAGTATTTAGAAATGGAAATGGAATCCTCATTGCAGAACCTGGGCTTCCCAAGTACTCACACATATTTGCCAGAAGATTGCATAAAATAGAGAATAGCAAATCAGAATTTCTTGGATTTATCACCTACATCCATGCACTAAGTAAGATGTTAGAAATTGAACTTCATGAGGTAAAAACTGAAATCAAAAAACCCAAACTGTTATCTATATCTGTAAATGGCAAAATGTGGGGGAAAATAACATTTAAACAAACTAAATAGAAATAATACTGAGGCAATTCCAAGCCCTTTAATACCTCAACAAGTGTGCCCTGTCTTCAAGGAAGACCAGAAAGGGGAAGCCATGCAAGCAGCTCCCAGAGTGAATTCAGCATTTTGGGTGGTTACTTGACTAATGGAGAGCCTGTACCCTGCCTACTGAGAAGCTATAGAAAATATTTCTGCATGTGAATATATTCACCATGCTGTCTCAGCTTCAGTTTTGCAAGAGAACCAGAATGTGAACTTTATGTCAGCTCTCCAAACATTCTTAAATGAAATGAACTAAAATGAGATCATTCCCATTAAGAATTCTATGAACATTTTTATTCTCCAAAATTCCCTAATTATGTGGCTGTTTCTATAGGATTAGTGTTTCCTGGAATACCTTTTCAAAAGTCTGGATCCTGAATGAAAATTCAGTAACAAGCAAAAACACACTCTTTTTTGTGATCTCACAAATGTACACTCATAATTCATAATGTGTGGCACTCACAGCTTTTCCTAATCTAAAGCTAGACTCAGTAAGTCAACAAAGGAGCTGATCTAAAAGTCAGGTCTGTTAGTCCATTTCTTATTAGTTACTTAAGGCAACATCCTCGCATGGAAAGACCTGGAGGAAGAAATAGGGGCAGGGTTAGGCCATATCAGAATCAGGCAGAAATCAGTAAAATTGTATAAATATTTTTACATGTCATCAAATTCCATTTGGATTATCCATGTCCCTTATTTGACTTTAAATTTAACTTATATCAGTTTAGAGAATTCAGTAGCTGCCATCTGCCTATTGAATCTTAAGATTTATATTTTAAACACTTATATCACTTATTTATGATAATAAAAAGCTCATCATAGTATGACTAATATTGATTTTGAACTTGTGCATTAAGTATGATAAGTAAGGTTATAATTAGAGAAAATGAAAAGTTTCATCCAGAGCCCTTCTCTAAGTGAAAATGAAAATGTCTTGTTTCACAAGACAAGATTTTCAACTAAGGTAAAGCTCATTTGCTGGTGTTTTTTGTATAATTAAATTTATCTATCAATAGACTTGGCAAGAATATATAGAAGTTTTACAACTTGGCTTTTTTCCATTATAGAATGGTGAAGAATGTTTTTACCAACACACAATCCAACATTTTTTTCTGATCAAACTCAGTGTAACATTCACAAAGCAATATAGTGATTTTATAGTGCAGTATATTATACCACCTTGCCATTGTCACTGTTATAGTAAGTTATGGAGGACATAAAAATTGTTTATATGAGGAGATCCACATATTTTTCACCTATATAGCATAGACACTCCTTCCTAGAAGGTTAAATGTCAGAATACCAATTTCTCTTTTAATTAAGTGTGACATTCCCATTTGAAAATCTGTTAGGGTTTGGTTGACAAAGAAATGTGTCATGTCTCTTTATGTGAGCTGTCTGCCTTCAAAATAAAAGATTTAGTGTCTGGATAATTCTAGGGCTCAACCTTTCTCACATTTAAAAATATGGGAGAACAGTGGGGTAGGCACCATGGGGGCTTGTGGTTAGTGGCAGGAGTGACAGAATCTGATTCCCTAGCAGTCATGGGCATGATACAATAGTGATGAAACAGAATCATGTTCACACTGCAAAGTAAATTAAAGAGGAAGCCACTGATTACACACACACACACAGACACACAACTCCTGCCTTTTTTTTTTTTTTTTTGATTTAGTTGTTTTAGTTTAAATAGGCCAGGATTTTGTTATTCTTATAAAATATCTCAGGCATATCAGTAGATGTTGCTCTATATTCACAAGTTGCTTTCATTTGTTTATTTAGATAGCTGTCCTTTCAAAAAAATGTTAGACTCTCAATTATTTATTTTGGTAACCAGTTTACATTTCTTAAACATTAATAGCCAGTTACTAAAAATGAAATCCAGCACCCAACCATAACTGATTGTGTTTATCAAGAGTAATATACAACTTACAGAAAGTGAATAATTGTATAATCGTTGGTAAAGCTGAACTTTAAGTGGCATATTTATTTTCTGTATGAAGTGGTAGTTAACCTGAGAACTAGAGGAGAACAGAAAATAGCCCTGGAGTCCAGGAAGGCAGCATGAAGAGATAGGGGGATTGCAAATAGACAGACTAGTATATTAGTGTTCACAGCCTAAGCCAAGGAAGATTTCAATGTATTGGCAAAACCTAGAAAAAATATCTTTCAGTTTGCTTTCAAAGCAAAGTGACAAGAGATTGAAATAACCTTAGAGTCGGGTTCTGGGGTCACATAAACAGTTTGTTTAATCCAAAGTATAGCAGAAAGTGATGAAAAGAAAAGATATGAAAGAATAATCAGCACAATATGATTTAAACTTATAGCAGACATTGTTGATGGCCATCTATAGCTTCTCCTTGATTCTGCCCACATGCAGGGCAGAACAAATGCACTAGGGATTTAGAGGAGCAACATTCAGTCTCTGGCAGATGGGCCTTGGCATAAAAATTCTCCAGCCGCCTTTCTCTCAAGTGGGACAACTCCGAGTATATTCTATACTATGGTTGTTCGGTAGAATTTTTACAATGATGAGATTCTATATCTGAGTTGTTAAGTAGGTAACCACTAGATGCTTGTGGCTGATGAACACTGGAAATGAGTCAGCTGTGACATAGGGAGTGGTTTTTACCTTAATTGTATTAACCCATAGACAACCATATCTACGGTTGTGGCTACCTTGATGGACACACAGTTCTATTCACACTTCAAGAGATGCCAAGTAGGTCTGAGTTCCTATTGCCCAAAGGCAGAGCCTGCTCAGAAATATGCAGTTGGTTGGCTTCCTTTCATTTTCTGCCTCACTACCTCATGAAATAAGAATAAGGCTGTGGTACATCTCTTAGAGGTGACTCAGGTGAGAAAGCTTTCAGCCATTCTGAGTCAGCCTATCCCAGAGACTGCCCTTCTTGTCAATAAGCAAAGTTCATATTGACATATTAATGAGAAAGTTTTAAATGTGTCACCTAATTTTAATACTTCCTTTTACCAAATGGTAAAATAAACATGGCATGCTAGAAAATGCATTGGGTTAAAGAACTCTGATTTCTAGTCCTCATCTTGAGAACAACCACCTTCCTTAAAAAGGTTCTCAAAACAGGCATATTTTGTAGACAATAGCAAATCCCAACAATGGGGGGTAAATGATGATATAGTTAAAGAACCAATATAGACTGTTGAAGAACATAGGCAAAAGAGTCAAAAAGGCAAATAGTCAGGAAACACCATATGTACCTCTAAGAATGGCATTAGATAAGTTAAATTTAGTTAAATATGACTTAAATTGACTTCCAGAAACATTCAGGACAAATTGAAAACTTTTGTAACTAACTTCAAAACAAGGAAAACAAAGAAAGGACAAAACTACTGCCTGGAGGCATTGTGTGAGGGCATGGAAAATGCAGGGTTTTTTCCAGCAACTATGTTGCTTCTTTGTTCTCCTTTCTTTGTCCATAAAAATTATTTTCGGGTTAAAATATTGGGAAGGAATATTGTTCAGAGAGGAACTCAAAATAGGGGAAGAGATTTGTAAGACAGCACCTAGCTCTTCTCAAGAATTCAAGTGCCTAGGTGAGGGAAAAAGGGGAAACCTTCAACTGTGCATTGATTTCTGTGGCTAAAATAAATACTGCCTGGCCAATTTCAGGCTACCAACATGAAGCTGCACCTAGCTGCACATGATTTGCTCCCAGTCACAACCAGTTGTAACATATCACTTCTTGCATCAGAAGAATTATATTCCTAGTACTAAAAATAAATAAATAAATAAATAAATAAAAATACACCAGCACCAGGCATTTGGACAGGGGCCAGAAGTCTTTTATTGGCTGATTATAGTTATAGTTGTTTTTAAAAAGGAAGTGGATTCTGTCAACTATAGTGGGGTGAATCTGGGGTCCACCTAGGGCAAGATTGTAGTGAAGGTCATTAAAGGGATTTTATGAATAGGTAGGGTACAGTAATCATTAGGAGCCAACTTGGCTTCACTGAGTGAAAAAACACTCCAGATCCCCCTTTCCAATGTCTTCATTGTTTTCTTTAACTAGTCTGAAGGATTTTAAAATACTGATGGACATAATAGTCACCTAATCTAGATTTTAGCGAGGCATGAGTCTCATACAGAGAATGACAAACATTTGCCCTGATACTACATCTGGCTTAATTTTTTGTAAAATAAATTTTTATTCTAACAGAGCTATGTGTTTACATACTGCCTGTAGCTGGTTTTACAGTATAACATCAGTTGAAATCAACAGAGATCTTAAGCCTCACAAAGCCTAAAGTATTTAATAGTTAGCCCTTGATAAAATGTGCTGATCCCTGATCTATTGGAGAAGGTTGAATGAGAGTAAAAATAGGGCTTATAACCATAATAAAGAGCCATATTCAAAAATGTTTCATGAAACATTTGTATCCTGGCAAAAGATTTCTAGTAGAATAATTCTGGGTTCTACTCTGGCCATGTGGTAGGCAATGTGTTACCATAAACCATATGAAAGAAGTTCTTCAGGTCATCACTGCAGTTTAAGTGATTGTCTACTATCTAGAAAGGCTAAATCAAGTTCAAACAAATAGAGAAGAGAGCAGTTGTGACATTAGTAATAGTCGAAGGGCATGGTGTTTCAATCTGTGGAGAAAAAAATCAACAGAACAAGAATGAGACGGTGCATTTAAATACTTGAAGATCTGTCATTTAGAAAAGGGATTAAACTCTAGTTTTTAAAGAATCCATGCAGATTATAACTAAACACATGTCCATTTATTATAGGACTGAATTACCCAACAGATTTAAGTAAATAATATTGTTTATTGTTATTAATGGCATTCAAACATAGACCTAGAGAACTCTTAGGAATGCCATAGAATGATTCATTCCAGTATGGCTCAGAGTTTGTGATCATCTCAGTACAATGAAAACAGAGATAGTGTTATCCCATAGTGTCAGATTCTTATGATGTAGTAAATTCTTTTTTAAAAAATATTTATTTATGCATACAGAACTGGGGTACAGGCTAGAGGTACAGGGGCAGTGAGAGGACCTGAGACAGAGTGGGGAGCAGAACAAGCAGATTGACTAAGTGCACTGCTAAGGGAAGCAGTGGGCAAGACAGGAGAGGTCTGCTGCACCATGTAGGTCACCTCCCTGGCCAGGGAGCTAATTCACACTGAAGTGGCCTTGATTAGTTTCATAGTGCTGCCCTGTAACCCTTTGCACCACCAGGTAGGGCCCAATAGTAAATTTTTAAAGAATAAGTCAAATTGTCTATGTCTAGATTGCTTGGTTCAATCATATTGCTGTCCCTTAACTACCCCAGAAACATTGCCTAGCAAAACAGGTGTTTCTTCCTAATTTCTGCAGCATCTGTTTCTTCAAAGTAAAACAACCCTATCTGGAACTAGCCAGCTTCATTATTAACTAGCCAGTGATAGCAATAATGGGGTGACAATGAAAATGACTTGTAGTCATAGGAATTTAAAATAAACCAAGAGCCCTTTGTTATGTAGACAGACCAAATGCTTGCAGGGTGCAAGGGTGAATCAGAGAAAAGTTTGGCAACAGAAAAACAAACAAAACAGGTCATAAACAAGGCAGGGATTGTGTCAATAATGTAAAACTGAGCAAGTCACTGAAAATTTTAGTCAGGAATGGCTCCACTATGTTTACATGGTTTATCAGATTATAGATATCATCTAATTATGTACTAGATTTTAAAATGTGTGTAAGTGTACATGTATAAGTAGTGGGATATTCAATAGTTGAAAATTCATTTTCAAGAAATGAAGAAATGAAGAAATCTCTCAACTCTTTCCCATTCTATTTTACCACACTCCTTATTATAAAACAGCTCTTTCCAGAAGTATCTAAAAAATAATTATCATGTTTTCCTTTGCAAGCCTTTTTCCCTTTATGTTGGAAATCATTGCGAAATGTGTGCATGCAATGTTAACTCAAACGTGCATTTCCATTGTTGATTAATCCGTTGGTGTGGCAAAGTTACTAGGAGTCTGACAACAAAATGCAGAGCATTTGTCCCCAAACCACAAACCCACAATGCCTGCATGCAAATAAATGTCATCAAACACTTCCATGGTCTGTGTCGAAAGACATTACTCCATAAGGTAATTTCTCTGTAGTTCTGCCCTAACGGTGATTTTCAGCCCTACAGGATCCATTGCCCCTTTCTAATAATAGATATTTTCTTATATTAACTAACTCCTGAGATGAAACTAATAACATGGCCTATTTACTTTACTAATTACTATAATAAACAGAAAGGAGAAATGAAATAAAATCAGTTTATATTAAAATACTTCTTTCATTTCTTAAATAATCTCGCAAATAATTTCCAAGACAATGAAATAATTAAAGATTTGGATGTACAAGTTTAGATTTAAGAGAAGTAAAAGCCAGATACGTTATATTTTAAAATACAAACTAAAGGAAGATAGGCACATGTGTATGTCTGTAGATGTGTATATATTAAACCAAAAGTATAATGTATTTAAATATACTCTGAAACAAATAGGTTTATTGCTACCACAAATTCACAATCCCCATTCCTGTTGCTAATGTAATTTATCTAAAATGGTAACTAACTCTTGGTGAAAGTCAGAATAATACAGGACAGTCTTTCCCCCGTAC